ATAATAACAAAAATAGTTGCAGTACAAGTTTCCTGTTATTTGAACATCATTTGTTTCACAGTGAATTACTTCAGTACAGTTTGGCTTATTGTGTTTTTTTAGCGGTTGTAAAATTGGTGTTTTCCCTCAGAGCAAATTACTGTGGTTTCATGATGATTAACCAACACCACAGTTGGGTAGACGGCAAGAAGATTCTACTACAATGGAATTACTTTACTAAATATTACTAAAAGTATACATACTGTAACATTATGAAACCTATCCAAGAGATGTTCTTTTGAAAATGGCTGTTAGCAACAGCCTCGAAAAAAGCTCATCAGGTAATTATAACCAGTTCCGTATGAATGTGCCTTACCGCCCAGTCCCTCCTCAGTTCAGTGATGCTCAGCAAGAGAAGTGACGCTATTTTCTTTATGAGGAAGTTCAATCTTAAAAAATTGCTTTAGAAGGGAAATTAGTTTAAAGCAAACCAAAATGAGAAGCCTTCCTCTCTGTGTCAGCAGAGAAAGCACAACTCCAGGCTACTCTCATCCTTCTCTTTCTAAAAGTTAAGTGTGAGTGCACAAAGTGTTGACTATCTTCTTAAATAAATTATGGACTTGAGTGTAATCAGATAGTACAAATGCATAAAAAAGATTTTCTAGTACACTAATGAGAGTAATTATTTACTTTCCACCAGAATTAACTGCAGGACGATCAGTCTTTTCTTAAGAACGATGTGCATCTAGAATGCATATAGGTCTTTTTTTTTACAGCAAGCATTTGACTTGTCTTAACAGGAGAAGTCCATGTGTAACTGATATTACTAGTGAACTGTCATCCATCACACACAATAAGAGCGTCTGGGTACACAGAATGCATCTATTCATGAATTAGGGTTATTAGTTGTGCTTTTCCTATTAAGACAACCAAATGTGAAACAAATTGAAAGGGCTATCAAACTTTTTGTGGTTGGATTTGTACAGTTTAAATGTTTAATATTCAAAGTAAGATTCTATACCATGCTCAAATGACTTGCAAAGAGGCAGGCACACTTTAACAGTTATGCAGTACAGACTTTATTCTGTAAGCTGATGTTTCAGCAACAAGATGCCTTCACACTTCTATACATCAGATCCATCTTTCTCGCTGTGGAAGTGGTCATATCAGAAAAAAGCTCAGATGTAACTAATAACATTAATGATGCCTCTGCTCCGTTACACTTAGAATTTGACACTTTTACTTCTGATAGCAGAAAATACACACATGTAATGTGATAATAATAATGACGGTTCTGTCATGCCATTGATGCAACGTGCACAGCACCATGGCCCAGAGACTGAAGTACCTAAATGGAATGCAGACCTTATTGATGTTATTAGTTACCCCTGTGATTTCCTTGCTATGATGTGTGACAATAAAGCATGCAAATGTCATTATATATTGGATATATTTCTTAAAATAAAATTTCAGTCAACTCTCCAGTAAATGTATTTAAGCTAACCAATAAACTCCTCACACTGAGGACACTTTGACTTGTTATGGCAGAAGTACATAGATGTAACAAATAACATTAATGGAGTGTCAATAAGTCATTGCAGTGAAGCGACATGCACAACAACAAGGCCCTGGGAGTGGAATACATCATTGTAAAGCAGACATGAATAATTTTATTAGTTCCACCCATGTTTGACTAGTTCAAATGTTTGCTATGACAAAAGTATAATGATTTGAATTTGCATAAGCATTTGACATGTGCTGAGCTGAGGGCATATGCCTCTCTCCCTGAAGCCCTCCCTGCTCTGAAACCAGACAGCATTATTTTTAATAAGATTTGCATGAGCTGTTGTAGGTGAGATTTTTCTACTTTTATGCATGCATATAAACAATGGATTTATATGTATCCATCAATCAGTGCTATATGGTGCAGCTACAATGTCCTAAAGCCATGGTGAGTCAGAGGACAATAATAGCATCTTTTATCACGTGCAGGTAATGGGTGGGTTGACAGTTGACACTGGCTTCCTGTTAAATCATCACAGAGGGGAGTTGCAGGCCTGTCAGAACATGAAAACACTTCACTTCCTCAAAGTTACCCCCATCCCTTCCATACCACACACTAGAGCACACAGACAGACATCTCAGAGCCACACATAAATGGATGGGTGAGCTTTGACATGACTGACCTCTTCACCTTTGCCCTCTGACTAAGTTCACCTCTGTGCAGGGGAGGGGGGCTTTCTGTCCTTCAGTCCCTTTACACCTTTTCTCTCTGTCTACAGACCTGAACGAGTGCGGTCTGAAGCCAAGGCCCTGTAAACACAGGTGCATGAACACATATGGGAGTTACAAGTGCTACTGCCTAAATGGCTACATGCTGATGCCCGATGGGACCTGTGGAAGTGAGTCTGTTTCTCACACACACACACACATACATCTGTAGGTGAATCCCAGTTCCCTTATTTTATCTTTCCTTGGTCCACGATCCTCACTCGACCAAGAGGTTGTTCTGGTCCAGCATGATGAAGGACGTCCCAAAGCTCTTATTTCCTCTCTGAAGAGTGAGGAGGCTGCTGGAGGAGCTACATTATAACAGAGGATAGACAAATGCATCCTTTACAGAAGTCTCCTACAGATTGACACGCCCCTTTATTGGAAAGAATTTTATGACTGGACACTTCACATGAAGGCTTGAGGAAAGGATGTCTCATATCAGTGAAAACGTGTTTCCTCAGTTCCTCACTCCTCACAGCTTCTCTTTGCATCTTTTCCTCACATCTTACGTGGGCAGGACTAAGACGCAAAGAAAGGAAGGAACCTTGGATGCAGTTAGGGGAATTGGGATTTGCCTTGTGTGATAGCACACACAGTTTGTATTATTTTCATTCCAGATCTATTTTCTCCCTCATCAGTTTCCTCTTCATGTTGCCTCTTCTTCTTTGTAGCCTGGATTTGCTGCTGTGAAACCTTTTTTTATGTCACTCATCTGTATAGCCTTAAAGCCTCATATTGATCTGCTTCATTATAGCAGCTGTACAGTTTGACGACAGCCTGTGAAGGGCTAAAATGTGAAAAACATCAAAGAAATGCAAACTTTAGACTCTGGAATGAATGTGCACTCCTTAAGGGCTACCTTAAGGAGTGCACACAGGATATCACACAGGATAATGCCTGTACATGTCCCCCTGTAAATTCCTGTTTTTCACCTGATATTTTCTCCTCAGACTTCCACTTGAGGATGGTGTGATTGCCGACAAGTTATTTCTTCATCAGAAGAAAATTTATTTCTCCCTTTAAAGTCTGAATTCTTCTCAGCTTGAGACACTTCAAACTATTCTTCAAATATGAAAGTGTTAAACGCCTTGCCAGTCTTCTTCTCTCACCTGCTACTTACTGCCTTGATCAATAAATCACTGTAGCATTTAATCAGCCCGGTCTGCCTCAGTCATCAAACTGTACTCCAGGGTGCCCGCGGCAGCTCAAGCAGCAGCAGCGGTACTCACTTTTTAATTTCCTTTTTAGGGTGTGAACTTATCATCATAGGCTGAATAAAATCTGTTCCATTATATTATTATTTTGGTGGGTCTTGATCTGACCGGTATGGCTCAGCAAGAGAGGTACATGCACACCGGTACTTTGATAGAGGGGAGATGACTTCAAGTGTAGGAAGCTGGTGAGGGCTAGTGCAGAGTGTGAGCACAGAGAAATTGCGTAGCTCAGGAATTTAATAACAGAAGATTGTGTGCTGTTGTGTTATCCACACCCTTGGGTCAAACTGGCTAATATCAAAAAAGGCAGGCGAGTGCCCCAGCACCAACACATTGGCTAGAGGATAATGGCAAAGTGTGACCGTCTATGTGAGGGGGGAAAAAACAAAGCCTTGTGGCACCAGCATGTGTTAATATGTGTTGTGTTTCCTTTGTGTCCATCAGACGCTCGTACTTGCGGCATGGCCAACTGCCAGTATGGCTGCGAGGTGCTGAAAGGAGAGGTCAGATGTCAGTGTCCATCACCAGGCCTACAGCTGGCTCCAGATGGAAGAACCTGTGTGGGTATGTCCTGGTCTTTATATATCCCCACAGAACCTTTATGTTAACCAGGCTCTTCCATATGTAACTCCTGTAAAGCATCACAGCTATGGAGGTTGTTTATGTGTTCTTCTCATCACTGACATTTTCTGAGTGATAGTTGAATGGAGCTGTTTTGGTAAAGCAAGAAAGAAAACCTGGCAGTGAAAATGCAATTTGAGACACAAAGCCTCTTACAAAGCAACTCTTATGTTTACCTTAAAAATGTTTACCTCAATATTTTACATCTACCTTTACCATAATGGCCCTTGTCAACAAAAAAGTGACTATTCCACTTACTCCCTCCAGCTTTTGCATTAGAAAATAAGAGCGGGAGGAAAAAGGGAAGACCACCTCCTGTCTTCCTCCCACCTTCTTCTCCTTCTTTCATTACTCATTTCACCTGACACAGCTTCTTAGATGGGTAACTAGCATATGAAAGAATCCAGATGAGGTAGTCAACCTGTGTCAGGTTTAAATATAGGCTGGGCTGTTCCTATTAGACTGCCATATAGTCTCCTTTAAATGCAAGCTGGCTAATGGGGGGGTTCTAAAAGAGGAAGAGGATGGATATCAATCACAAAGAATGATGGAGTAGAGGAAGGAAACTTTGCCCACCACAGGTGTTATGACAAATTATTGGAATGTTTCTGCATCCCCCTGGACCCACATGTTTTATGAGAGTTTCTAATCATATTTCTAGAAGTGTATTTCTTCTAGTAACCAGACCTTTACATGGGGGGTTTGAAAAGATGCTGAGCTGTTTTTATTTAATGATGCTGTGAAATGTGATCTGAGCCCGTATTTATCACACATTAAAGAAGTACACTTAAGAATTCTCTAAAGACTCGACTTACAGTAGAAGTAAAAGAAAAAAAAAAATCTTCACAGAACAGGTAAGTTTATTCAGCAACTTAGTGCAAATTATCCTTTTACTCTGAACCCCAGCAAGTGGACGAATTCAAGCCTGCATTTTCTGTTTTGGTGTGATCTCCAATTTGGTCCAGCTTTGACCAGGAAGATGTGCTCGGTCAGCCATTAGTAACACTCATTCACTGTGTTTGGTAATGATGTTTTAATCACCTTAATACATTATCACACTGTGACAACAAAGTGTCACGTCAAACACTGTTTATAGTTTGTCACTGCTGTGATCATTTTATAACTCTTTTTTTTAAGTTATGGATAGTGAGCAGGGCAATTTTATTGGATGGAAACATAGTGTGAATGTAACTTTTAAGAGTAGCCTTCAGGTGATCACATGATTAATCGTCTCTATGCTCAGAGCAGGGACAGCCAATCACAGACAAGGATTTATTGAACATTTGTCTCATTGTTCATTTATTTTTCAAAAAAACACTGGCAGGAAAGAAATTCTGCTGAGGTATGTCACAGAAATCATGTTATAGGAAGAATTTAGTGCCCCATTGCAGGCACAGGTAGGTAAGCTGTATGGAGATATCAAAAAAAAAATCTGCTTTGGTTTTGTTGTTTACATTCCTGATAAGTGCAAAAAAGAATTTTAAAAAGATCCAATCAAATACTACTATACAGGCTGTGGAAAAACATCTTGCAGAAGGTGTTTTCTTGTCTTACGGTAGTTCTCAAGGATCTGCGTTTAACATTAAAAGACCTCTAACAGTGTTTTAAGTTGTATTGTAGCTCATATTCTTAGTTTGCAAGATGTTTTTTAAATCTTTCATTTAATACCAAATGTTACTTTTAACAGTTTGATAAGAATGTTAAGTCAATTTTATGTATATAGCACTATTACAATCAACAACAGTTGGCCAAAGTGCCTTACAAAGGGTTAAAAGAAATTAGCATAATAAAAGAAATCAACAGTCAGTAAATATAACAGCAAAATATGACCAGCTAACTGAACTCACAAAGCACCTTGAACAACACTTACATTAGCAACAAGCCAGACCAAACAGATTATACAGTGGGGCAAATAAGTATTTGATACACCGCTGATTTTTTAGGTTTTCCCACTTACAGAGAATGGACAGTTCTGTAATTTTCATCGTAGGTACACCTCAAGTGTGAAAGACAGAATCTACAAAAAAATTCCAGTAAATCACATTGTTAGATTTTTTAATAATTTATTTCCATTTTATTGCATAAAATAAGTATTTGATCACCTACCAACCAGCAAGAACCTGTTCGTTTGTCTTTTTGTTAGTCTTTAAGAAGCCCTCCTATCCTCCACTCATTGCCTGTATTAATTGCACC